ACACACACACACACACACACTCACACACAATCAATCAATCAATCAATCAAACCTTTTTTTTTCAAGTTTTTTGCATCTTTATTTTTCTAAAACACCTCATACCCCTGCAAAAAACAGAAAATCATTTCTTAAAAATACAGGTGAGCTCAGGGACCATATATCTGATGATAAAAAATGACCAAAAAAAAATCCAGCTTTTCTTTTTTTTTATTTTTTTTTTCTTTAAATCGAATTTAGTTTTTGATTTTTAAAAAATCCTAAACAAAGTCGGATTCCAAAAAAACAAAATGGGGTTGTAGGGCTTAAAATTCCCTACAACTCCATATATATATGTTTTTTGAGCTATTATTTAATTCAGGAAAAATCTGGTAAAATCGGGTCCGCGGCGCGTACCCGGTAGGCCACGGAGGCGACCGTGAATACGTCCGCCCTCCGAGCTCGGCCCCGCGGACGTGTCCGCGGGTGTTTCATAGTATTCTCCTGCGTTCAAATCGGCAATCTGGGTGCTTGACAAAGCCGCCCTGTGCTCCCTCAAGCGACAAATAGCAGCATACTACGGCGTGACAACCATGAATACAGCTAACCGTGTAGCGTGGCAATCGGTGATTCAATCAATGAGCCCAATTGGGGGCTTGCCATTTGTGACCCAACCACACAGATCATGACACTGGCTGTACAATGGATCAAACACTTAGTCGTTAACCCAGGGCACATGGACAACCGACGGTGGCCTTAGAACAAATTGCGAGGCTGGCCCCTGCAGTCCCGCTGGAAACTGATCCTACAGTGTGGTTGGAAAACAGATCCTGGTAGATTCCGCGGGGACAAGCCCACCCACCTGCCCAACCACAGACATCCAATCACCAGGCAGCAAGGGCCGACCTGAGAAGGGACCCGTTTTGGCCCAACTTACTTAAAGTCGGGCGCAAGTTACACCCACCCCCCCGGACAAAGTCCATCCAGAGAGATGGGAAGAGGTGTGCCAACAGCCCCTCTTTGACAATAGATGGATCACGGATAGCCAAGGGCACACACTCCACTGCATGGAGCCCCCATGGTGGGGGTGGGTAAGTAGAGGAGTCCTAAAAAAAAAAGACGTATGGGACCAGACAGCTAAAGATTGATGCTCCCCATCCCATGAAAATCCAATCCCGACTCCGCTACTGCCACCACTCTGCCACGACACTAGGAAGCGTGATCGAGTTGGTCCCATTGGACTGGGTCTGGATCCTGCGAAAGGGCCTTAAACCACCAGTACTTGGCCCAGCTATCGGCCGCGGCGCTTTCCCGTTAACGCGCCGCGCCTTTAGGGCTTCGGGGTACTGGACCACAATGGCTGGCAGCGCCATCCCAAAAATTTTCAAGACGGTACCCCGGCGCTTCGGCGAAAATTGGCGCGCAGGGGCATTCCAGGCTCAGCATCGATAGCTGGGCCAAGTACTGGTGGTTTAACCTGCAAGAGAGCGACTGGTAGCCACCCAGGGGCAACCCCAAACGGTAGGCAATGGAGTAGACAGAAATCTGAGTGGAAGACACTCCTCGGTCTGTACGGGCTAGGAATGCTAACGAGCTACAAAGACCCCAGCTGGAAGAGATGGGAATGGTTCCAAGACAATCAGCTGTTGCGGATCAGGGTCCTACAACACAAAGACCAGTGGCTAGCCTTCAAACCGGGCACACCAATTTCTCATCTAGTCCTTCATCCAGGTATTACTAATTAGACTTGGAAAAGCTCAATGGTAAGGGGCAAGACCTGCACTCGCATCCTGCACACCCTGTCGGTCAAGTCTACTTACAGGATGCTCAGGTCGAGGGTCAACCTCCGTGAGCAGGTGGAGGATAGATGGATGAGACTCTCAAACATCACTAAGGAATCCCTGCGCCCAATCAAATGGTTCCACACTATAAGAGTGAAACCTGCAAAGGTAGCCTCCCTTTAAGCCACCAGTACTTGGCCCAGCTATCGGCCGCGGGAAAGAATAGAGTAGAAACGTTTCTAGTCAGATGAATTTGGGCGGTCCTGTAGTAGTCCGTACGTTTCCTAAAATCGTGGCGCATTAACGGGCCTGACTCTAGGAAGTACTTGTGGTTTAATGGCAGATAGATCACCCGTCCACTGCTGCCTAGCAACAAACGATTGGATCATAGAGAGGTCCTCCCTAGAGCAGCGGGGGCTCACCTTGCCCTGATGCATGTTATGCACCACCACGTTCCCAGCCAGGAAAATCGTGGAGACAATCGAGCACATTTTTCTAGAATGACCCTGTGGCCATCTGGCTATGGAGGTGGTGGGACCAGGTATGGCAGCTGGGCACCTGCTGCCCATGGCCATGGGAATGGAGAGGTGCCCTGCTCTGCGCCGTCTGTGGAACCTGGCATGACTTCACACAGAATCTGTTAAAACATGTCAGCTGGCTTCCCTCTGGGCTCTGTGGTGGACGCGCTGCATCCATGAAATGGATGGATTGAGATTGGACGGACCGGAATTTACAGACGCCGTCAGACAACAGGTGCAAACAGATATCAGAATGAAATGGGAAAGTCTGAAAGCATGAATCAAACAGACGAGTGTCATGAGGACGGACCGACTGGCAATGATCAAACTCCACACGAGGACAGTTGAGTAAGATACACTGGAGATTGATCAGATATCACTCGCATGAGCACATTGACATGCATATAAAAGTACAAGCTTTTGTTTTTGATTTGTTAGGACCTGAAAAAAAAGAAAAAAAAAAAGATCTGTTAGGACCTGCCAAACCGGGACTGAGACACACATGCTGAGTTTTCCGCATGTTGTTGAGTTTTCTAAGTCTGAGTGTGTGTGTGCTTGCTGGTCTGTGTGCCTGTATGAGTGCTTGTCGGTTTGAGTGTGTGTGAGCCCCACGAGGGTACTTGTCGGTGTGGAAGGCCCAAAGGGCCGGTACTTGCCTGTGGCCGTGACATTGAGGGTTGCAGCGGGGGAAAGCACTCAAGTGGCGGGGAAGGAGGCCCTTGACACTTGAAGCAGCGGAAAAACACTCAAGTAGCAGGTAGGCCGGGTGTCCACACCAGGTAGAGGTAGATGTGCCGGGTACTCAAGGCCGAGCAGAAGAAGACAAAGTTGGCATTTTTAGAGGCCCAGTAGTTGTAGGCTAGGTCTAGGCCGGTACCAGTCCAACCTGTCTGAGTCTAGGGCCTGTACGGGCAATATCAGAGTCTGAATGATGTTTCCCTCCGAAAGGGAGGAGGTACCGGTTGCTTGGAGGCCGCGCGGCCTAGGAAGTCACTCGCCAATAGCCAAGCAGGCCGCTGTATCTCCCGGAGGAGCGAGGTGCTCCTCCTCATTGTCGGTGTGCAAGTCCGGCGACACACTGGTTGGAGCGCTGGCTGGAGCAGTGCTAGCATCAAGAGCAGCGCTGCTGGGAAGGAACAAGGACAGGAGGAGGAAGAAGACCAGTACTAGGAGGGAGGAGGGCCAGAGGTACTTACCTGGCTATGGTGAATACCATCTTCATCACCTTGGTGGGCGCTGCATCCGGAAGCCCCCCCCCGTTGGGGTATAGCTGCACCAAGAAGCTTCGAGGCAGAGTCAGGCATGGCGGCCTGAGCTAGAGAAGCCATAGCTGCTTTGTGTTGTCCTTTGCACAGCAGGGCAGTGCCCTGCTAGTCCGCCATTGCCTCGGCCGTGGAAGAAGGGAGGAAGAATGGCGGCCATGGCTATGGTGGACCTCATGTCATGCCTGCGGTAGAAGAGGGATTCGGACATTGATTCTGGTTCAGCCATTCAACATTATTATTAGTATTTCTTGTTTGAATAAGAGGGGAGGAGATAAGGAGGAGGAGACTGGTTGGCGAAGAAGAAGGGAACTCTCATTGGTCTTTGCTGGTGTACATCTTCTTCTTCTTCTTTCCCTCTCTCTCCTCTCAAGTTCATTCATTCCTTTTTGCAATTGGACGACATTGTACTTTCTGATGAATGTGTGCTTCGAAATTGACCAGGATCATAACAGCTTTGTTTTTTTTCGAACATCTGCTGGTGGTACTATTTAGGCTGATACAAGTTTCCCCCAGCAGTACCTGTCCCACAGATGGCTCTAGCGAGTCCTGTCTATTGGTGGGGAGCTACAGGCTACAGCTGCTGGAAACTGGGTCTAGCATCCCTTCTTCCCGTAGAGATAGATAAAACTTCATAAAAGTACAAGCTCTGTAATTCAATTGCCAAAAGAATAAATCAAGAAGTCCGCTTGATCTGCAGGTCCCAAGCCCAGATGACAAGCCTTATCCCCAAGCAATCGCCAGAAAAATACATTCAGAAAAACACGCAATCAATGGCCCAGGCCGCGGGGTACATGAGAAGTCTCATTGCCTCCAAAAGAACCCACAGTGTGGCGGCCATTCCCGTTTAACGTTGAATGAAAAAACTCTGAATTGCTGGGGCTGACCTTTCTAGGGTGATACCTTCAGCCTCCAGGTCATTGTCCTTTGTAAGACTCAGGGGAAAAAAAGGGAAAGAAACGAAATTGGACATGCAAGATTGTTGGACAGACTCTCAGAGGCGACGAATTTCCTGGGCCTTAATTCCCTCCTTCTCTCTCTCTCTCTCTCCTTCTCTCTCTCTCTCTCTCTCTCTCTCTCTCTCTCTCTCTCTCTCTCTTTCTCTCTCTCTCTCTCTC